TGTTTCACTTCCTGTATTTCCAGGCTTCTCTTGAACCCTGAATGATTAATCACGTGTGTTTTATGCGTCCTGTCAGGTAACTCCCGGTCCTACCAGCAGTGGATGCACACTGTAAAGGTATTTACACAACATGCTGTATCTATCTATACCTCTCCCAATGCTTTTATTTTTATATATATTATTCCCGAGTTCTACTTAATTGAAAGCATGACAGGCGCGACTTGGCGTTTGAAGCCTCGCTGTTGCCTTTGCAATGAAGGCGCCGCCTGAACGCGCAGATCGAGCTCGAGTGCAGTCGGGCGCGTGTGAAGCGGCGCGTGCAGCAGGACAGTGGAGACGGACGGGGAGGGAGACGGAAGCGATTTGACGTGACAAGACGTCCTCCGACATGACGTGTTGATCTGGCAGCAAACACGGGCGTTACTCCGCTGAAGCACGCCGAGAACACGCGTCTCTCCCGCCTTCATCTCTCTCTGGCCATTTCCTCCTCTTCTCTTATCCGTCTGTCTCGCTCTCTCATTTCTGTCACAGCCCCCCCCACCCCCACCCCACCTCACCACAACCTTGGCCTCTCCCTCTCTCACTCACCCCCCCCCAAAGCCGTCAGCTAAGGCTGAATTAGTCCTCTAGAGTGCTCTTCAAAGGTTTGTTAAAGTTCATATTTCCTGACTGACAGGGATCTATAAGAGGGGCCTTCACCTCGGCCCCTCTTCTCCTCTCCCTCTGCCAACTTCTGAAGCGCTGCCTGCCATTTCCTCTGTTTAGCCGTTTAGCCGACGCTTTGTGCTTACACTAAAGACCCAGCAGAGAGAAAAGAGTCGAGACGCCAAAGGAAAAAAGCAGCAAATCGGAGAGACAAAGAAGAAAGGCGCCGAGAGATGCTGGATGCCATAATGTCAGCGTGCAGAACTCAAAGTACGAATCAATCACATACGATCCTTTCTATCACTGTTTTAGGCTGCTTCTAAATAAAACCCCGTCGTCTATCGCTGCTCGCTGATACTGTTTGGTGTTTATGCGTCGCTGTTAGCAGCTGTTTTGTAGGTTGTAGCTAAGGTGTAAGTCGTGCTGCGGCCAACGTGTGGCGAGTGACATCTGAACCGATCAATCGGTGCGATCGCCCGGTGCGGTTTAACGAGAGCCTCATTTGTTGCCAGACTGATTGCAGAAAAGTCGATAAAGCGCGCGTCTCTGCAGCTGCAGCAGTAATTGATTCAAATGTTCTTTTAAATGTTTGTGCGTTTGCCCCGAGCGTGTGTCCCTGACAGTTTCCGTGTGTGTTACAGAGAGGAGGAGCGCTCTTCAACACAGCCGTGTCAAAGGTAAAGTGCTGCTTTGCATTTGTGCACAACAAGGATTCAAACCTGGAAGAAAAAGAGGTTTTAAAGGTTTTCAAACTTGGCTGACGAGTCGCGAACAATCAGGAGGATTGTTCACAGCCAGTAAATATTTGATGAGCGTGTTGTTATGTGGCGTACGGTAGGGTGGCCGGGGCGCCCCGCCTGGATGTGCGAGGCTCTCTCATCCCGCCTCTTGTCTGCATGTTTTTTGCCACGAGGATCAAAGTATTTCTTGATGTTACAGGAAACCTGAACAGAATGTTAATGCAACATGTTTTGTGTGTAATCTGTGTCTTACTGTGTGTGTGTTTCCCTCCTAGGCCAAGGTTCACGCTAAGAAGGGTATCCGGGACTTTAGGGGCATACTTAAAGCAAGGGTGAGCTGCACCGGACCTTCGCACGCCGTCAGGGGCGTGCAAACACACCCGCGTACACATCGTTTTGTTCGGAGGCCCTCGGATGGATCCGCGCCTGCCTCATAGAAACAGACAGGAAAGCTGCTTTACATGGAGTGTGTGATTCTGACGTCGGGGCCTTTAATGACTGTTGAAGCCTGCTTAGCGCTTTGTTCAGGGCTGTACATTTTTAACCAGCGCCCCTCTGGCTATGGCCTGTCATGTCATCCGAGCCGCAGCCCCTTCTTTCTCTTTTTATTGTCTGCATATTTCATCAGCGAGCCTGTGATTTCCTCAAAGCTAATGTAACGAGGTGTATGTTTCCATAAGCCTGATGGGTTTGATAAGGCAATAGCAGTTTGATCTGTCAGTGGGAAAGCGAGAGGCAGGAGGGGAGGGCGCGGCGGCGGCAAACAGAGGTGCGCGAAGCGTTTGATTCTCAAACACATTTCCTTTTTAGAGAAATTAATTTGTGATGCGATTCAAACTGCACCGGATTTCTTTCGCTGCCAGCTGCACGACCCCAAGCGGGGGCCCTAAAAGCACGAGCATGTCGATGTGTCGGAGGCGGTTACCATGGTTGTTGTTGTCGTAACCAAGGGGAGAAGGTATCCATCTGTCTCGTGCTGAAACTCGTAGAAGTGAAAAGTTTGTTTTTGGCTCTGAGACTGAAGAACAAGCAGACTTTCATCAGTTTTAATCGCAGTTACGTGTATTTGCTCGTGATCCTTTTTTCCCCGACTAATTTGGTGCTTTAAGTGTTTCCTGCATCACAAAGTGTCCACGTGTGAAACTGTATCACGCAGAGGAAACCAGCCAGAGACTGATCGTCTAACCTTTAATGTAACGTTACTGTGAGGCGCCATCAGACCGGCTTCGTTGACGTCGATATTAACGCCTGTTTTGTAACCGAAATTCATCTTTTTCGTCAGGACGATGAAGAGGAGGGGATCATGGTCTATCCAGGATCTCCAACCAGTACCAAGAGCCTGTCTCCAAGGAGACTGCAGAAGATGAGACGGGTATGACACACACACACACACACATCAGTAAATGAGTTAACTACATTTACACTGAGCTCACTTTTCACTTGACCAGAATGGATTCAGTGTTTTTCCTCTGAACTCTTTTCAGTCCACTCCCCCCCCCCACATCTCTCCGACTCCCCCTCCCTCCCTCGTTCTCCCCCAGCTCTCTGTCTCTCTCGTAGCATCTCTCAGAAGTACAGTAGTTTGTCAGGGTGCCAAATGTAACGATAAGCATTTTTTCCTCTTTCAATGCGCTCGTGTTGTACATTCAGTGTTTTCCTCTGAACAGCACGGACCGTCGAATCAGCTCATCTGCTGGTCAGCGTTTCCTCTGAAGAATTTGCTTGTGCACCATAAGTGGTAGCACTTTTTTTTTGGTTCTTTGTTGTGTGCAGAGCGTGCACGGGGACGTGCAGAGCGTGCACGGGGACGTGCAGAGCGTGCACGCGCACAAAAACACACATTCATCAATAAATATGTGGAGAAAATGCTCTGTAGTTTAACTATGAGACGCTGCAGCGCGGTGTAAATGAAAACGTGTAGATTTAGTATGGCGCCGTTGGAGTCGCACACATCTGTGCCAAACAAACGCACACAGCCTCGAGGACGCTGCTTCTACCTCGCGTCTGTGCTCGGCTGGTCCAGGCTGGAGCTTTTCCACCTCTCGTTGCTAAACGAATATATGGACTCCCAGTTCCCGGCTTTAAAACCGCACACACACACAAACACGCCTGCGTGCACATTCTGACATTTTGGTCACAGTCATGTAAGAGTGTGATTAGGAGAGGTTGTGCTGTCTCTAATTAGTGTTGTGTTTCCTGTGTGTGTGATGAGGCTGGAAAGTCTTAGCGCAGAGGAAGGTGTGACGGCCGGGGAGAGGAGAGGAACGGCAATTAGGGCTTTTCTAAAGGCCTCCTCGGACACCTCCCGCCCCCCAGCCGGCATGCGCGCGCACACCCACAAACATGCACGCACACACTTTTTTTTATTCAGGATATACAGCCCCGCTCGTACCGCCGAGGCCCGCTCATTGCCACAGTAACGGGTCCCTGGAGACCGCTTGAGGAGGGACACGCAGGACACAGGACGGCGTGTCCCACGGCGCCGCTTTGTGTGTTTGTGTTCAGATGTAGTCCATCAGTTTCTCCTCCCGATGACGCGCCCGTTCTTTGCTCTCATAATATTGATTTTCTCTATTAGCTTATTAACCAATTCACACAAATCAAAAGCACGACTCGGTTTAATTGATGAAAAGTATATTAATTAATATTCATGCACATAAATGCTCGTCTGCAGGCCTCAATATTTTTATTGTGTTTTGAACAAATAGTTTTTTTCTATACTTTGAAG